AAAAAAAAAAAAAGTACCCTGGCGGGTAGTTCCCGGGCTGTTTTTGACACTTTCAGCCGTGGGACACCCCGCGGCTACCGGGCTATTTTTTTTTGGCCTGTCCGGGAATCAAGAAGAATTCAACTCTGACTTAAATTCTACACGGGCCACGCTGACATAAAATTCAGGACGTCAAGTTAGCGCTTTATTCTGCCTGTATATAGACGCTGGTAAGGCACAGGTGTGGGCTTATGAAGGGTCTAATATTTTTTGAACAGATTGTATCATCTATTAACATTCCTATCAGTGTTCAGAGGTACAGGCGCCCAGGCTATATACTGGTTAGTTTTTGCATAATTTGCATTAAATTTTGGTGTGATCAATACTGGGATGGTTTATTCTAAATATCTAGCCTTCAAAACATGTGTATAGTACAAATGTATGTGTATCGTATCAAAAGTATTGTTGATACCATGAGATTTATTGAGATATTGACGAAAAACAGATTTTCAGTAAATTTTCAAATTAAGCACAAAAATATCTATTTGATCTCCACTGAAATGGCCTATCCTCAATAGTTATTCCAAAAAACATGGGGAAAGACACCAAAGATATTATAATATCATATGTAGTTACTGAGATATTGACGGAAAACAGATTTTCAGTAATGGCCACCTTGATTTGCCTATTGTGCGGCTTTAATTTGCATATTCAGCACAAAAAAACTGGTTTGATCTTTACTGAAATGGCTTTATTCCATTCGTCATCCCTCAAAACATGGGGATAGACACCAAAATTATTCTGATATCATGAGTAGTTACTGAGATATTGACGAAAAACAGATTTTCAGTAATGGCCGCCCTAATTTGCATACTGCGCGGCCCAAATTTGCATATTTAGCAAAAAATAGTGGTTCTAACTTTACTGAAATGGCTTAATTTAATTCGTTATCCCTCAAAAGATGGGGATAGACACCAAAATTATTCTGATACCATGAGTAGTTACTGAGATATTGACGAAAACTGGAGTTTCAGTAATGGCCACCTTAATTTGCATATTGTGCGAATTGCCCAAGGATGACAGAGTGGCATCATTCAGATTCTGAAAGAGCACACCTCAGAGATATAGAAACAACAAAAAAACTTTGTATGGACCGCATTGCACGCTTATCGGTCTCTGCCACCAGACTACACTTAACTCAAGTGAAAATGAGTATTGTCCTTGAAGAGGTTCATCAGTCACGTAGAATTAAGAGTTAGTAGAAATTCTTCGATCAGTGACTGTATCTTTGTAAGGTAAATCACGTACCTCCAAATTTTCGTTGTCGACTGTACACCTTGATCACGGAATGACCTAGTCTCGCGAGAACACGAGACTAGGTCGAGACTTGTGTGGATCTTCTGACCTCCCCCGCCTCCTTGCGGAGTAGGGGTAGGTAGGACTTGGGCAGCTCCAAACCTTCATTGCGATTCATCCCGGCACGTTCCAACTGGATGAAGGTTGGGACCTACAAGTAAGACTTGTAAGTTGGGACCTACAAGTCTCGACCTAGTCTCGTGTTCTCGCGAGACTAGGTCATTCCGTGATCAAGGTGTACAGTCGACACCGAAAATTTGGAGGTACGTGATTTACCTTACAAAAATACAGCCACTGATCGAAGAATTTCTACTAACCGAGTATTGTCCTGTCCTGTATTTGGCGGCATAAAATACGTTGATACAATCTGTATTGCATACAGGTACCGTGACTCACAGATCACAGAAGAGGAGGAGCAGTACGTGTCAACTCTGCTAGAGGGCTCTACTGGCTTCTCAGACTACGATTACGACGCCGACTACTATGACGACGACGGTGACGGTGAATACCAGTACAGCTACGACTGGAATAACACCGGCATTCCCGACGACTTCAACCTAGCGGAGTTCACTCTAAGAGCAGGCTTCGACATTCACACATCTCTAAAACACTGTCTCTGGAGAGGCCAGACGTGCAATTCTGATGTGAGTTGTCTTTTTTTTTGGCGACGCCCTAGGGGCGTTGCCAATATGTATACCCTGAAATTATAATTCACCAATTTTACACTTCCCATAATGCCTAGTAGAGATCACGGATATGGATGGGATATGACGTAAGAAGGGGATATACGTAATGCGACCGTGCGAGTAGGAGAGTCTTCGGTAGAAGGTAGAACGATAGAAGGTACGTCATTTTCTCTAATTCCAACAAAAATGCAATTATGGCATGTGCTTTATACTAGATAAATAATTCAAAACAATATAGTTGACCAGTTTGTCGATAGAACTTGTTGGAAATATTACATCAAGGAAGGGGGAGGGGTGGTCTTACGTCATATCCGTGACTTTTACTAGGCATTATGGGAAGTGTGAAATTGGTGAATAAAATTGAGAAGGGCCATTTTGAGATATTGCAAAACGATATGATGGGACGTTTATCATTCTTTTATTTCAGAACTTCACGCATATTTTCACGTCTTTTGGAAACTGCTGGATGTTCAACGCTGAAGGGAGGATGAACCAAACCATCTCGGGCGTGGGGAACGGGCTACAGGTGGCCATAGATATCCAACAGGTGGGATAAGTACTCTAGTGGTACTAGTTGCGATAAATAACGAACAAGTGTGATAAATATCATTTGAAAGGTGTCGTTACTTTGTCTATGAATGAAAAGTCGTAACGACTAGTACCTAACCATGGAAGAAATGTGGCCACGTAATGAATACATCACTGGACTATGAAACGGGGAGACCCGGGTTCGATTCCGGGTCGTACCCAAACAAGTCCGAACATGCGCCCCGACGTTGTACCCTTGGGAAAGGTACTTTAGACGACTTTCCACACTTCACTCAGGTGAAAATGAGTACCTAGCTTTGGTTAGGGACGTCCCTCGGATAGGACGTCAAATGGAGGTCCCGTGTTTGGGAGAGCCACACCCCACGCACGTTAAAGAACCCACCGCACTTATCGAAAAGAGTAGGGGACCTTCCCGGTGTGAGTGGTTCAAACCTTACATTCTGGTCTCGGGGTTGACATCTTTGAAAAGGTGATAGTCACCTGTCATGTCAATCCTTCCACAAATGTGGTAAATCTTCATTAATAAATAAAAGATAAATAAAAAATAAAAATTGTCATGCTAAAAACCAAACAAAAAACCGACCTCGACTAACAGAAAAGCCCGTTGTTGTGCCTGCAGGATGAGTACACGGAGAACGCCCCGACAGGCAACCTGGACGCCGGGATCAGGTTCATAGTTCACTCCCCCAGCGAGCCGCCTAAAGTAGACACACAGGGCATCTCTGTCGGGCCGGGAATTCACGCATACGCAAGCATCAGCAAGATAGAGGTAGGACCAGCGGTATGAGCCAAGTGTCCTCCTTCCTTCCTTCCTTCCTTTCTTTCTTCCTTCCTTTCTTTCTTTCTTTCTTTCTTTCTTTCTTTCTTCGTCCCTAGTCTCCATTCTAGCGTCTATCGTTGCTATATTTATGTTTACCAAAGGAAAACATATTGTTTTTGCTACTTTTTTGCCACTTCTTCTTCTCCAAACAATGACCCCTGACCTGGTCAATGAACTGATTTGTTGACGTCTCTTACCATGGGAACTGGTGTTTGGTTAAATAATGTTGCAATTTTATAGTAGGAGGGATTTATACTCCTGTCTGACCATGTATGATTGCTTTGAGTACAGTATTAAAGAATTATCAGAGCAGACCATATGCGAAGGTAAACATTATGCATTTGCAAACAAATGTTACCTTTCTAGTTTCTGTCTTATCTTTCCTATTCTCGTTTTCTAAGTCTTGTTTATCTGCAAGTGCTAGGTCACGTGTCGTTTGGTCATTTAAACCTGAAGAAGGCTACAGTATAAACGCATTTTACATTTGGTATATGTTTTTCCCTGCCACTTCCCGCAGTTCAGAAATGAGATCCCGCCGTGGGGACAGTGCGACCCGGGGCGGGCCCTGCAGTACTACTCCGGCTACACCAAGACGGGCTGCCTGCTGGAGTGCCGGGCTGATCACGTGGCCGACGAGTGCGGCTGCAGGACGGTGAGCATGCCGGGAACGCTGGACTACTGCCAGCCGGCTGTCGTCACCGGGTGTGTGAAGACCACCATAGGTAATTCACCAATTTCACACTTCCCATAATGCCTAGTAACGGTCACGGATATGACGTAAGACCACCCCCCTTCCTCGATGTAATATTTCCAACAAGTTCTATCGACAAACTGGTCAACTATTGCTTTGAATTATTTCTCTAGTATAGAGCGCATGCCATAATTGCATTTTTGTTGGAATTAGAGAAAATGACGTACCTTCTATCGTTCTATTAAATATACGTAATGCGACCGTGCGAGTAGGAGAGTCTTCGGTAGAAGGTAGAACGATAGAAGGTACGTCATTTTCTCTAATTCCAACAAAAATGCAATTATGGCATGCGCTTTATACATGTTCTAGCGAAATAATTCAAAGCAATAGTTGACTAGTTTGTCGATAGAACTTGTTGGAAATATTACATCGAGCTCGAGGAAGGGGGAGGGGGTGGTCTTACGTCATATCCGTGATCTTTACTAGGCATTATGGGAAGTGTGAAATTGGTGAATGGTTGACAACAAGATTAACAAAATTAAACTGCTCTCCAACTCAAAAACGAAATTAACTCACCAGAAATGTTCGACTGAATCGCTCAGTCTTCATCAGCTTTATGACCCAAGTTCTGTGGACACGTGATTTTTAGCTGACTGAGCAATTCAGTCAAAAATTTCTGGTGAGTTAATTTCGTTCTTGAGTTGGAGAGCAGTTTAATTTTCTTCATGTATTTTACCCACTCAGATGAACTTTCATGCTACGATTAACATTTCGCACTAATAAACGCAGCCATATGCATGGCATTTCAAAATAACCAAGTGCATGTAAATTCAAGCAGAGACACTTGATTTTAATATGCATGTGAAGGTGTTTTTTTCACACTTTCAGAAAATCACACTTTCAGCTGAAAAAGACCTCTCGTTGGTGGGACACTCTCTAATTGCATTTTAGAAACTACTAGTATTATAAATGAGATGTATTTCCAAGCCTCCTATAGCAAATATCCCGTACTATAGTATTTGTATGGCCGTGTTCATGTGAAGTCACCCAAGGCTCTTTACATGTGGTTTACCCCGAAGCCGGTTTCAAGTGGCCCCATCTGAACGCTCCAAATCACATTGAAAGCGCCTCGATCCCAAACCACTTCTAGAGGTGGTTTCGAATCGGTTTTCCCGCATCGCGATTTGCGTCTGAACGCAATGTGATTTCAATGTAACTTCGCCTGGTCATGGATTACGGGGTGATATTTCTTTATTTATATGCAATACCAAATCTTACGTGGCAGCAACTTAAAGAGAAGTAATGGTCAAATAATGTGTCCGTTCTAGGACGAGCTTCACCGCCTCTGGCGAGACCACGTCGGCATTCGGCCGAGATACGCTGGGAGGGGGGCATCAGCAAGCAGGTCGTTGACCCCTGACATTGATAACACGCCACCTTGCGTGTTTTCATCAAACAACAATGAATGCAGTTTCGTAGACTAGAATCGTGATCGGACACGGTTTGCAATGAATGTATGACACGTGGACCAGATGTGCGGAATGTAAGTTACCCGCATTGCGGTTTGGCTGACTTCACATGAACAAGGCTTATGACGACGATTTAACAGGTGTGTGATTCTGCCTAACTCGAAATCCAGACGTTTCTACTGAAAGAGTCATCGTAACGGTTTTTTTTTTTTACAGCTGAGCTAAAAACCGGGAAGAGGTCCTGTAACTGCCCGACCCCCTGCAGCGCCACGGCCTACCCTGCCACCTTGTCGTACGGAGGATGGCCCAGCTCCAGCACCATGGACTACTTCACCGATCTACTCAACAAGACAGAGCAGGAAATCAAGTAGGTTCAGTAATTCACCAGTTTCCCATCCCCAGAATGCAATGCGAAAATAGGGTGCTAACCCTCATTTGCATAGGACAGGAAGGCATCGGAATGATCCTGGTGACGTTACACAGCTTGCTTTTCAGTGTGTTTTGAGGTGTGGGGGCATTTTATGCTCAACATTAATTAAATTACTATGGGTTGAATCTGAAAACAAATAGAGAATGATTTTTTTTTGAATATGTGGTTTGTAACGTTATAGTGGTAACGCTATACTGATGCTGTGACGTTACAAACCACATGTTTCATGTTGAAGAGAACACAAACTTCATTCTCTATTTGTTGTCAGATTCGACCCACAGTAATTTAATTTTAAAAAATGTTGAGCATAAAATGCCCCAACACCTCAAAACACAGTGAAAAGCAAGCTGTTTAACGTCAACAGGATCATTCCGATGCCTTCCAGTCCTATGCAACTGAGGTTTAGACCCCTGTTTTCGCAATGCATTCTGGGGATGGGAAACTCGTGAATCTCTGTCGCTTGTAGCCTCCTGTGCAGGCCTCCTGGCGGGTGGGAGTTTTGATACGGCGTTTTGTAGAATTTTTAGCGCGTTCTTTTGCCGGCCATCCTACAACCAGCCGCTCAGAGAAGATAATCCGGAGGCATGATGATGATGATGATGATGATGATGATGATGATGATTTGCTTACCAATGGCCTTTCGACCGATGACCTTTGCCCCACTAACCGTGACCTCTGCCCTGCAGAGACAACATCGTGCTGCTGGATGTTTATTACCAACAGCTGAACCTGCAGACGGTGCAGCAGAGAAGAGCCATCAGCACCAACGCACTACTCGGTTAGTTTCCTTTGTTTGTTTTGTTTGTTTGTTTATTTATTTAACCAGGATATACATGTCGCCTATTGGCGTTTTTCAAAGATTCCTGGGGGGATAACCCCAACAAAACTACATGACAATAAAATTATAACAAAAGATTAAAGATGAACTAACAAAGGTCAACTATAAAATAAATAAACTTATCGTGAACAAGACGAAATCGTAACTAACTCATCAACAATCAAATGAAAAAAAGGTAACATAGAAGTAATAATAATCGTGCAGATATCAAATTATAATGGTAGATAATCAAAAGGTATGTCAACTTAAAAGTAAATAACTAAAAGGGGAGTTTGCATATCGATGGAAAGAAATATAAATAATCAAATCAAAGAGACATGGAAAGTCCAATAATACAGAAGTAACGGAACAAGTTGACCTTGGTATATCAGTGTCCAGTAGTTATATATTCTTGATTGTAGATCTTTTTGAACAGTTCTTTACAACGTGCTAGCAATTATGCAGTTGATTTTCTTGCAATTTTTGGTCAAAATTAACAATTACATGTGAACAAAATATTCTCTTTAGATACATAGTACATGTATGTCACCAAGTAGGTACGTGTGATTGTTAATCTGTTCGAATTCAGTCACTATATGTTTATTTCACACATATTGTTTTTGCTCTGTTTCTTCTTCTCCAAACAAAAAAGGTGATCAATGGCCTAAACCACACGTCTGTCGCCATGGTAACTGGTGTTGTAGCAGACACCCTGTGGCGTTGGGTTACATTATGTAGCAAGGGGCTGGTCATATACATGTACATGTATGAATAATAAATGTCTATGAATAAGAATAAACAGAGAAGACGTTTGTTGAGCTAGACCATTCCTACGTTAATGTAAACATTACCTACTAGCTTTACAAATGTTACCTTTTTACCTCCATGAAAAATGGAGGTATTGTTTTTGGCGTGTGTGTGTGTGTGTTTTCGCACATTTGTAGTCAGCATAACTTCAGAACGCCTTTATGGATTGTGATGATATTTGGTATGCTGGTAGGTCTTAAGAAGCCAGAGGTCAAGGTCAAATATGGGCCTCCTGGTGGCTGACCTAGGTACTGCAGCAGAACTTTTGTATTTTGAGGGAAAACAGATGTGCCGGTTTAATGCAAAACACGTGTGGTCAGGCAGCGCGCCTACCCGGTTTGATTGATGAGGTTTCCCCTCTGGAATAGCCCACATGTACTGAGTTGACTGCCTGACCTATTTCAGGGCAAAAACCTGTGTTATTTTGTTCTGTACTGTAGTGTAGTGTACTGTGTAAACACATTTACAAAAACTCAATGACATATATTTCATGGAGGTTTGAGATCTCCGAATCCTTGTTAGTTCTTATATCATTTGTTCCCTCCATCCCAGGTGACCTAGGAGGACAGCTGGGCCTGTTCCTTGGCGCCAGTGTCATCACCATTATCGAGTTCCTTGAGTTTCTGGTGAAGAAGGGAACTTCTTGCTGCTTCCGCCACAATAACCGAGTCAAGACTTGAAGATGAGCACAGATTAAGTTGACAACCATGAAGACATAGGGTTGCAATGGACTTTTATTATCATAGTGCCTATTGCTGTCCACCTTTCTTTCCGCTTGTTCAATTGATTGCAATACGTTACATCCTATAGATAAATTCAACTACATTCTCAGGGGAGATAACCAATACAGTGTTCAAATAGGAAAATACATTAAAGAATGTTTCGATCTTAGAGAACACATGTTAGAGAATAGTTAACCTTTATTGTTACATCATACATATACTCTGTACGTAAGATGACGTTATCCACACATGTATTTAGTTTTGTTAGATCTGTAGTTAAGTTGTAGAAGACCTTACAAAAGTCTCTGTACTTTTTTGCTGTGTCAATAAAGAATCTCTATATAATGTATATATGTATGTATCAGTACTCTAGGCACTTGAACAGCGTATTCTAACTGATGAGTTCTCACTAGTTAATGTTACATTTTGTTGTTGAAATTTGGTATTTAGTCTTTATTACTTAATAAAAAACTGGGAATGAACTGGCTGTTGTGTCCCTTTGTTTTGGGCGGCTAACTTAGGCTAAGTCATCTTGCTTATGACCTCAGTTTATCTTGAATGGCAATACGCGAGAAACCTAATAGAGATACTTTATTGACACAACAAAAAAGTACTTTTGCATGGTCTTCTACAACTTAACTAAAGATCTAACAAAGCTAAATACATATATAATATATAGTATACAGCTTAAAGATATCAGTAACATATGATACAAACTAAAAGCTTATGAAATTTTAGTTCGAGAAATTTTTTTTTTCAAATACATGTTTATGTAAATACATGTCGAATCATGTCTATATTCGAATTGTATATTCGAATTGTATATTCGAATCATGTCTATATTTTAAATTTTACTTCGAGAAATGAAACTAATTTAATTAAATACTAGTAGTATTCTTTTGTCACCAGCAAGGGCCTGACTTTTCACGATATATTCTACGTAGTGGAAACTAAAAACCATGAGCTTTCAGCCACTGGGCGCGCGCGACCACATCGTTGGCGTAGTCGTCTCCAGTTGTGTCTACGTCCATCCCGGCGTAACTCTGTACGTTACCACAGCCGGCGTTGTACCCGGAAATTCCGCCTGAAAATATAATGTAATTGAAATTATTGGCATTAACTCAGAGACAGACTTACAGCAGTGCAGCTAAAGGAAGTTTCTATCGCTGCAGCTGCATAATGAATAATTTGCTGCACCTTGACAGTGATCAAATCTTAGACACATTTAGTATTTAGACAGATTTCTGTCTTTTTTTCGGCAAAAGTACAATGTCATGTACTTTTTTTATTAATTCATGTAATCACCAGACGTGGTGACGACACGCTCAAGTTTTTTCAACTTATATTAATGCCGCCACCAACACAGGGGACAAATACATGACAGGACAATACTCGTTTACACCTGAGCTAAGTGAGGAAAGTCGTGTAAAGTGCCTTTCCAAAGGGCACAAGATCGGTGGCATGTCAGGACTCGAACCCGGGACGCCACACGACCCCACACTTGTATTCTGGTTAATACGCATTTACAGTAAAAGAAATGTTGCATGATCGACTTTCATGGATTATTATATTGGTTATGCATGATAACTTTTTAACGGAAATGAGAAGTAAAAACGAACCCTTGAGGGCCATTTCGGCGGTCCAGCTAGGATGTCTCTGCTGTACACAGTTGATGGTGTCGATGAGGATCTGAGTTCCCTGTTTGATGTGCTCGGTACTGTACGGACCGCCTACAGGAGTGTGGTAACGGTAGTCCACCTGATACGGTAAAACAGAATTTAGTAAAAAAAAGTTCATGTTAATAACATCGAAGCCCCAACCATGCGGACGAGGGACGATACCGACTTCCAAAACCCTAAGATCAAGTGTTTTAAGCTATTGTGACATCAGTTATCATGAAGGCCAAAAGGATCGTTGTGACTATTTTTTTTATTTCAACATGTAATCACCAGACGTGGTGACGACACACTCAAGTTTTTTCAACTTATATTAATGCCGCCACCAACACAGAGGACAAATACATGACAGGACAATACTCATTTTCACCTGAGCTAAGTGAGGAAAGTCGTGTAAAGTGCCTTTCCCAAGGGCACAAGATCTGTGGCATGTCAGGACTCGAACCCGGGACTCTTAGTTCCGAGTCGCGCACTCTCGTGACTATTTATTGTGTTCGAATGCAGTTTCGTAATAGGATAAGTACCGTGGCCGACAAGAACAAAATTTTACACCGCAACTTTTGGTGTTTTACACCGCAACTTTTGGTGTTTTACACTGCAACTTTGGGTGTTTTACACTGCAACTTTGGGTGTTTTACACTTCAACTTTGGGTGTTTTACACTGCAACTTTTGCTGTGTTTTACACTGCAACTTTTGCTGTGTTTTACACTGCAACTTTTGCTGTGTGGAAAACTTACACCCCTCCCCTTTTATAATGGACGGTCCCCCTGTCAGGTCAAAGGTGACAACGATGGCATGCAAACTACGTCGACTGAGTTATCCTTTTCGTGCATAAGTTTTTTTAGAGGAAAAGCTTGGCTACGTTGTGACGTTAGTTTTTTTAAAGGTTTTTCTAGCTTTGGCCTAACGTTATAGATCGGGATAAATTTAAAAATGTTTCGACCAGGTCCAGTGATTACAAATTATGTTGCTTTTTGCTGCCATGCGTCACAACAAATTTATCAAAGAAGTCGTACTACTTATTAAGTTAAAGTTATTTTACTTTGGACCAACCAATGACTTTATCCTTTAGTAAGTCAGCACTTTGCACTGGTTACAAGGATAAGCAGTAGATTGAAGAATATGGATAATATACCTGCACACTCTGATTTAAACTTTAATTTTTACGAGGACGTAGTTTGCATGCCATCGTTGTCACCTTTGACCTGACAGGGGGACCGTCCATTATAAAATAGGAGGGGTGTAAGTTTTCCACACAGCAAAAGTTGCAGTATAAAACACAGCAAAAGTTGCAGTGTAAAACACCAAAAGTTGCAGTGTAAATCACCAAAAGTTGCAGTGTAAAACACAGCAAAAGTTGCAGTGTAAAACACAGCAAAAGTTGCAGTGTAAAACACAGAAAAAGTTGCAGTGTAAAACACCCAAAGTTGCAGTGTAAAACACCAAAAGTTGCGGTGTAAAACACCAAAAGTTGCGGTGTAAAATTTTGTACTTGTCGGCCACGGTAGATAAGACATTAAAATTATCATAGATAAAAAAAATACCTGCATGAGCCCGAATCCGTTCCCATGATCCCCTGTTCCGTCGGCAGCCAGTGCTGCGCCTGCGCGTGTCTCACGGCTGATGATGGCGGCGATGATAGCGGGGTCCATGTTCTTGGCGTTGGCAGCTTCAAATATTTGCTGCCTGTAGTAGTTCAGCCGGGAATGGTCCGTACTGGCCATTTGGTGGGAAGCAGCAACGCCTATAGATGACAACAACAAAACAAACAAACTTAGACGCTGTGCATCTACTGGTTTGTCTGCATTTTTCTAAGGTTTTTGGATCTTCTTCTTCTCTCCTCTGACTACTAGTATGTAGCTATAGAGTTTAAAAGGCAAGAGGATTTTTATGTTTACCGAAGGGAAACATATTGTTTTTATTCAGTTTCTTCTTCTTCTCTAAGTAGTGACCTCTGACTTGGTCAATGACATGAACCGGACCGTCTCTCACCATGGTAACTAGTGTTGGGTTACATCATGTTGCAATTTTATAGAAGGAAGGATTTAGACTCCTGTCACCATATATGTGAATGTGTTTGAGTAAGAATTAACAGAGCAGACCATATGCGAAGGTAAACACTATGCATTTGCTTTACAAATGTTATCGATACTTTCCTAGTACCTATATCTAAATCAATAATCAAAATGCATCAATATTCGACAGAAGTTCAATCCTTTTTGTATTATCTGTCATGTAAGATCTAGAATAACACGTTGTTGCCCTTAGGCCACAGCAAGTAATTTTTATGGATAACATCAACTCGCGCATTAATTTTCGCCTGATTTAAAAAAAAACAAGAAATTTGGTTGCCTTCTGACAGTGGTCAACATGCCGAAAATGGGCAAAGATGTCTGTTGCCGTGTGGATGGCAGATAACTATGAAGAGAGGAGACAAGAATAGACTCTGATTTAATGTTTTTGAAAATGTAGGAACCTTGTTTTTTTCGCCCGCTCGCATTAGATTTGGAGTCTGCGGATGATGTCACCCATAAAATTTACTTGCTGTGGCCTTACCTGAGTAGCCGAGGCCGTCTTGGCTGGAGGTCTCCGCACTGGCTCCTGTTGTGTCTACTATCATGATGTTTCCATAGTCTCCTACAAAGATTTACCACAAATGGTGGATTTAGCATCAGGAAAAAAATCTATTCTGGTGGCTAACACAAGAAAACTATAAAATGTGTTTACACAAATGTCATGCTTCATGTAGTACAAGGTTATAGTGGAATCTCCTAATGTAATATCAGTCCCATGCGTTGATTACCATATTTTCAGTGACATGGCATTCTGTCACAATTTGCTGTTTCGTCAATGACATTTAGAATTGAGAGGGACAAAAATATTTCTTTTTTTTTAAAAAGGTGTTATAATTACCATTTGTATCTCCATGGTGATGATGGGTAGTATGAGCCGTCGTACTCACTGTTGCTGCAAAAACAATCATTCCCCGCATTCTCATTGTGATCGTACATTCCTCGTACGACCGTCATACGATACATTCTAACTTGAAATGGTCGCACATATTTTGAAATTGAGCTGTCTTGTTACCGTAATTAGTATAGTCTTACATGTAGATCATTTTCGGTGCTTAGTTCTGTCACACACAGTAGGCTTAAAAATGTGGTACGTCATCAAAATCTTACGACGACCTAAGCCGAATATAATCGCGCCCAAAGTTGTATATACATAATATACACTATTGTAAAATTTATTGTTGATGTCGTAGTGCCACGTAACCTTGTCACAACAATGTGAAATGTAACAGTCCATTATAACATATATACATGTATTAAAGTTAGATTAGTACACTAGTAGAAATAGTTTATAGTAGAAATTTTAATAACTATAAACTATTTCTACTAGTGTACTAATCTAACTTAAAAGTGTTATTTGCCATACATTGTATCCAGTGCAATTGTTGCGCAAAAAACTTGACTATTGACTACTATGATATCGTCAAATGTACCACGAATCTTCAGATCTTGCTGTATCATAATTTTGTTACATTGAATTTTGTTATTGCTTTGTTATTTATAAAGCATACTTACTTCTTGTGGTAGTACTGGGAGCAGAAAGTGAACATCCGCCCAGGTGACAGTTATAGCAACACTTGATGTCGTTTCCGTAGTCCGGACATTTGCCGGTTATATAATAGCCGTGAGGACAGCTGTCCACGTGCGCGCACTGACCGTACTGACCGTTGGAGCCCTGGCTGTCCTTACAGTCTGGGTCAACTGCGAGTGGACACGCGGTTATTTGAAGTGATCTTTAGAGTTGTAACGGATGTTATAATATTTTAGAGCGTACCCTAGTTTGTAACGTAACTTTGCTTGATTTGTTAAAAAGCTTTAACCATGAATGCAAATACTAAGAAAATATGTGCAAAAGTAGCTTGTTTCGTAGAAATGCTCTCAAATGTCTGGTTTATAACACATTTCTGCAAAACATACTATTTTGTTGTTGTTTATCTATATTGACTGCATGTTGTTTTGTTGTTGTTGTTTATAAATGGTACTTACTACTTGTAGTAGTACTGGGGGTGGTCGTCGTTGTAGTTGTCGTCGGAGCTGTGCAAGAAAATAATAGCATATGAAAATATACTTTAGTAATAACCAATTGGATTGCCATCTATCTTATTAATTCAGATTTAAAAAAACAACAATAAATGATCATTTGGTATATATCATGTTGTTACATGCATATTTTTTACACACAAACACAAAATTGAACAGCTAACAAAATGAATCCACCCAAATGGAAACGAAACGATCACAGGAGGCCATCCCTACCTGCTGAAGTTGTTGTGGGTGCAGAAAGTGAACAGCCGCCCAGGTGACAGTTATAGCAACACTTGATGTCGTTTCCGTAGTCCGGACATTTGCCGGTTATATAGTAGCCGTGAGGACAGCTGTCCACGTGCGCACACTGACCGTACTGACCGTTAGAGCCCTGGCTGTCCTTGCAGTCTGGGTCAACTGCGAGTGGACACGCGGTTAAGTGAAGTGATCTTTACAGTTGTAACGGATGTTACTGAATCATATTTGGAGAGCGTACCCTAGTTTGTGACGTAACTCTGCAAATTAGTTTGTTAGAGCTAACCATGAATGCAAATATTAAAAAAATATGTGCAAATGTAGCTTGTTTGGTAATAAATGCTCTCAAATGTCTGCTTTATAACACATTTCTGCAAGAAATACACACATACTATTTTGTTATCATAAAAGTTCATCTGTGTTGGTAGTTACATGTTTAAAGTTTAAACTTTTGATCCAACACAAAGAAATCTCTCACCTAGAGCTTTCGACCAGTCACTCTGGTCTTCCTCGGTAGACTGACCCAGTGAAGCTACATTGAACCGCGACGGGGGCCGACATCGTCAACCAGATACCTTTGACCCAGTGTTGCACACTTCAAAGAAGCCATGTGACAAGCTTCACTGGGTCAGTCTACTGGAAGACCAGAGTGACTGGTCGAAAGCTCTAGGTGATAGATTTCTTTGTGTTGGATCAAAAGTTTTAACTTTAAACATACTATTTTGTTGTTTATTATATTGACTGCATGCATGTTGTTGTTTGTTGTTTATAAACGGTACTTACTACTTGTAGTAGTACTGGGGGTGGTGGTCGTAGTGGTTGTCGTTGGAGCTGTGCAAGAAATTAATACCATATGAAAATACTTTAGATAATAATCAATTGGATTGCCATCTATCATATTAATTCAGATTTAAAAAAAACAACAATAAATGATCATTTGGTATATATCATGTTGTTACACGCATATTTTTACACACAAACACAAAATTGAACAGCTATCAAAATGAATCCATCCAGAATGAAACGAAACGATCACAGGAGGCCGTCCCTACCTGCTGAAGTTGTTGTGGGAGCAGAAAGTGAACACCCGCCCAGGTGACAGTTATAGCAACACTTGATGTCGTTTCCGTAGTCCGGACACTTGCCGGTTATATAGTAGCCGTGAGGACAGCTGTCCACGTGCGCGCACTGACCGTACTGACCGTTAGAGCCCTGGCTGTCCTTACATTCTGGGTCAACTGCGAGTGGACACGTGGTTAAGTAAAGTGATCTTCACAGTTGTTATGGATGTTATCATATTTGGAGAGTGTATCCTAGTTTCTCACGTAACTTTGCTTGCACATTGATTACCTCCATGAAAAATGGAGGTATTGTTTTTGGTGTGTCTGTCTGTATGTCTGTCTGTCTGTGTGTGTGTCTGTCTGTCTGTGTGTGTTTCCGCAACTTTGTGGTCAGCATAACTTCAGAACGCCTTTATGGATTATGATGATATTTGGTATGTTGGTAAGTCTTAGGAAGACAAATGTCAAGGTCAAATATGGGCCTCCTGGTGGATGACCTTGGTACTGCAGCAGAACTTCCGGTTTTTGTATCTTTTGTCCTGAACATGCTATGGTCTTGATGTTTTGGTGACAGATTGCTTTTCCTGTCAGGAATGAGTGGTTTGAGTTTGGTCCCCCCAGCAGCTTGTTCTGGAACTGCAGGGCACTTTCTGGCGAAATGTTTAAAAGCCAATAAGTCCAGATAGGAACAACATATTTTCATAATTCTTGGTGTGTAGGTAGCTGAGAGAGAGATATACATGATTAAATGCAAATTATGCAAATTAGGGCTTTATTTGCATAATTAATGTGGAAATTCTATGATTACAGTGTTTTACATTATACTACTTTCATACATGTAATGTATGTAACCTATGGCAGGCAGAACATCAACAGATACTAATTATGCAAATGATAACCTAATTTGCATAATTTATGCAAAAATTATGATTTCTTAATGGTGAATAATGGGAATGTCATACTTGGGACATCTGTAAGTTAATCAAAAGTTAACATACATCACGATGCATATATTATGTTAATGCGGAGGTAATTTGCATAATTAAAGAGGAAATTTACATTTACATATCAAGCCCATATTTCATGGAGGTATGAGATCTCGGAATTCTTGTTTGTTAGAGAACTCTAACCATGAACGCAAATCTTTAAAAAAATATGTGCAAACGTAGCTTGTTACGAATAAATACTTTGCAAAAGTGCACACAAACTATTTTGTTGTTGCTTATTATAATATTTTGTTGTTGCTTATTACAATGACTGTATGTTGCAATTTGTGTTGTTGTTATTTGTTAATTATCTGCACTCACTCTCAACGCTTATCATAGAGAGACAAGAAGGCGAAGTGGGCTTGGTAAGTTTAATGTTTGAAAACATGAGAATCCACCAAGACCAAGCCCGGAGGGAAGAAGAGAGGCGAGGAGGGGGAGAGTGCAGTAACCGTAGTTAGAGGGGCGTAACGAAACAATATCGATAAAAGTTCGTAAGCTAACAGTGCCGGCTGGGCGGACGAAAAGCTAAGTTGTAGTGGACAAACAGTAGGACTAAAGAGCTAGGTTGTATGGGACAAACAATAGTCATAAACAACGGTGCTACGGGAGACTAAATAGTAGGTTGTACTGGATAAAACAAAACAACAGCGATAAAAACATTCATAAATAACAGTACTGGGTGAAATGACTAAAATGCTAGGTTGCACTGAATAAGACTACAGTCATAAAACATTCGTAAGTAAAAGCACTGTAACGCGTTAGTAGTATTGACGGGATTGTCTAAACATAAAGCAGGAGAACTAGTGGCCAGCAAGCCATGATCTAAGGCGACGTCCTGCGCCGAGTACAGTGGAACTAATCAAGTAGGAGATCTTCCTGTACAATGCTAGCAAAGCTCTGAAGGTACTAGTAACATACTACTGGGACAGCACGAGACCGATGTAAAGGTCCGGCTACGTAATTAATTTTTTGACTGGACAAGCAACAGCGAGAAATAATGCAGAAATAACAGTGCTGTGTGAGACTGACTAGGGTTTACAGGGCCGAAAAAGGCGATAAAATATGCATAAGTAAAGCGCGATGTGAGATCGACTGCAATACTAGGGTGTACTGGACAAGACGGCAGTGAGAAAACCTGCAGAAGTAACAGTACTGGAACACATGGGTGCGTTGAACGGGAGGTATCGGAACGTAAATAACAAGAGAACAAAGACTAGAAAGAAGGTCCTATGGAGTGTTCCAGGCGTGAAGCGGTGGCCCTGGGATGACGGTTGAGCCGACAAGCCGGGGTTTACGGTTGAGACGAGGTCACGGAGGCTAGCAGGTGAGCTGAGATGGCCGAGGTTGACGGTCGAGTCGAGAGGACCGAGGTCGGAAGCTGAGCCGAGACGACACAACGTTGGCTTTTGTTCCTAGGGGACACGAAGCCCGCTGCTGGAGTTTGGCGGGTGAGCCGAGATGACACGAGTCTGGCGTTCAAGCCTAGACGATACTAACCCGGGAGGGGATCCGAGACGACACAAGGTCTAGTTGAGCCGAGATGACATACAAGAGGTTCCGAGATGACACGGGTTTGGCGGTTGAGCCGAGATGACGCGAGTTTGGCAGTTGAGCCGAGATGAAACAAGTTTGGCGTTCGAGCCGAGACGATACTGAGACGGCAGTTGAGCTGAGACGACACAAGGTTGGCGGGAGAGCCGGGATCCGCGAGTTTGGCGGTCGAGCCGAAAATGCCCGAGATGACACGAGTTTGACGGTTGAGCCTAGATGACACGAGGTAGGCGGTTGAGCCGAGATGACACGAGGTAGGCGGTTGAGCCGAGATGACACGAGTTTTGGCTGTTGAGCCGAGATGACACAAGTTTTGGCTGTTGAGCCGAGATGACACGAGTTTTGGCTGTTGAGCCGAGATGACACGAGTTTTGGCTGTTGAGCCGAGATGACACGAGTTTTGGCTGTTGAGCCGAGATGACACGAGTTTTGGCTGTTGAGCCGAGATGACACGAGTTTTGGCGGTTGAGCTGAGATGACACGAGTTTTTGGCGGTTGAGCCGATAGGACACGAGTTTGGCGGTTGAGCCGAGAGTACACGAGGTTGGCGGTTGAGCCTAGATGACACGAGTTTTGGCGGTTGAGCCGATATGACACGTGTTTGGCGGTTGAGCCGAGAGTACACGAGTTTGACGGTTGAGCCTAGATGACACGAGGTAGGCGGTTGAGCCGAGATGGGTTGGTGGAAAAAGAGGTCCAGTCTGGACTGGTCTAGGGGGCCGGAAAAACCTATCCAGTCTGAAAAAAGGGTCTGCATGGGGTCTAGGCATGGTTTTGATAGAAAGTCCAAATAGCTGCTATTCAAGACACTTAACTATGTTGAGACAATGAATACGACATGAAAGTGTGAAGGGGAATATGATAGAGTAATAACCACACAGGCTAAGGACATTATATAGATATACATGTACAATGTACATGTACAATGTACATGTATGTTCATTCTTGTTTATACGCTAAGGCGAATTGCAGGGATGGCAAAGTTTGCCAGACAAATGATTGACTACTTGTATATAATGTGCTCAGAATTTTTTAAAACTTCTCAAAGAAATATTGGATTTATCCCATGTTGAATATAACCTCCTGGGTTTACCCATGGCATCTCATTTATGCAAACATTTTGAGTACTAAAATTCATCCCAGAAGTGAACGTTTAGGTTTCTTTCCTTCTGAATTCTTATGAAATTTTTAGTAGTGGCTCTCAGCTGAATACAGTCTGATACCAGGACCAACACAATGTACAAGCAGTTGTAGAACATTTGGAAGCTATCTGAAGAGCCAGGGTTTCCAGACAGTCCTCCACTTAGAACATAACCTCCAAGTCCAGGCAGATCTACAGTAGGGTTGGATATTGTTTTACCGACTGGAAACAATCAGCTTGAGGATTAGGGGATGAATGTTGCCATCCAACTGAATTTAGCATCAAGTGTTACAGGAACCCCCATGCGGACCCTTTTTTCAGACTGGACCTCTTTTTCCGACCCCTAGACCAGTCCAGACTGGACCTCTTTTTCCACCAACCCGTATTTGAATCCCTCTCCAATTCTCTCAAAAAAGCTGCTTTTATTCAAATAGCCAGCATTGTAAGGGTCATTTTGTATGACATGTGAGCTATCAAGTTCAACTGTTTGCCTGATTCTGTTTCTGCACTCATTATAAGTTGTTGCATAACAGTGAGGACTGTATAACTTG